TTCAGGTGACAGACATGAGCTGTATTCCATGGTGGCAAGTCCTGGAATAGCAAAACTGACTTGTCTCTAAATAGGCTGACATTATTGCACATACATGGTCTAGTTTAGAGAGTATCAATGATGCCTCAATAAAGTTAAAAAAAGAAAGCATGTCAGTTGTTCTTTTGAACCAAGGCCTCTGTGCAGCCAAATTCACCGGACCTGAAATTCTAGCCTGAAGCTATCACAGCCCCACAGATGGCAGGTTCCTGAGCTCCTCTGAGTCTCAAGTGTCCTCAATTTGAAAGTCAGGTTTTGAGCGTGTGGTTTGCTTCATGGGACTGCAGCGCTAACCGAGAAGGATAATTGTGCACGTGAGGGCAATTTTGAAACACAAATGCAAGGGAGTGTCTTGTGGGTGCAGAGAGAGTACTGATGAGCACTAGAAACTTCCTTGCCCTAAACTCCCTTCAGCTCCAGTGGCCCCAGTTTGTATTCTCCTTCTACCCGAGATTCCTAGCAAAGCCACTGCAGCTCCCACAGTCTAGAATCAGCCACAATCCCAAGATGCTGGGTGAACCATGTGCTTTCAGAGTCCAAGGTCAACTGTCAGGTCAGCCCCCAATGGCTACAGGGGCTGGCCAACACACTTCACATTGAGGTTGCCCGGTAAAAGATACTTTAATTCCTGGGCTCTGCAAGATGCTGCTCAACTCCCGTGAGGGCAGTTGTGAGCTGTCTTTATCTTCGGGCAGTGAGGCAGAGCTAACATAGCTTACTGTCCAAAGCAAAAATCGAAAGACTTTATTCCAGCTCTTCCCTCTCTGCTGTTGTCCTGCTCTTTAAATACGTATTGCTCAAATATTCACAGGGAAAAAAAAAGGACATCATAAGAGCCATGTAAATCCTTGCCATCAGTCTCAACCAAGTCCCTTTTCTTCCAACCCAACACAATGATGTCATAACAATGTCTTTTGTCCAGATTATGGGTATGGGTATAACTTTTTCAAGTCCTCTTCTGCCCATATACATACATACATACATACATACATATATATATATATATACATACATACATACATATATATATATATGTCCTCACAGTCTTGTGAGTTACAGCAGACAGGCATTACTACACACAGAATCTACCAGGATACAGGGAAACCTGAAGTACAAACTTCAAAAGTATCCATCAGAAGATAGGCTGTCACTGGGGATGACTGAAGCCTGTCCTTTCACCAGATGACAGGGGATATGTCTTAACCAAACATTGGAAAACCATCTGTAGGAGTTCAACCACAGGCAGCCTCAAACAAACTCAACCAAATGAAACAAAAAGCCAGAGGTATATGGGCACAGATGCCTCAAATTCAATTGTTCAGTTGGCTTCCAGCTACAGACGAGATAAGGGCCTCTCTTCTTAGAAACCGCAGAGGGTGGGGGTGGAGGGGTAAGGGCTAAGACCTAAGCAGGGCTGTGCAAAGCAATGGCCGTCACATCTCCTGTCCTGCCTTCTCCAGGGACACATGAGCCCTCTCCTGGCCCCAGCCTCCCCTTCCTCACACCTCTGCCTGGCACACACACTTCATCATTTGCTTCCCACCACCCTCACTCCAGTCTTGAAGAAGCTGAACCTTTATTTTTGGAACTTCTGGAACAGTGATGAAGTGATAGGCATAGAAATAAAAAAGGGAAGGATAGGCCGTTTTTGTGGGGTGAAAATTTCTTTCCTGAGGTCTCTGTAACTGATTCCTCTTTATCCTTTACCTTGTGTTTGCCTGTGCTCATGTGTGAGTGCACACGCCTGCACCATGAAATTCACCGCTTCTCCATCTTCTTCCCAGCGGCAGGTTTCTCTATAGCAGTGTCCAAAATGGACCCACATTCATAGGACAGGATGGAAAAACTCCAGCACAGCTCCAGGGAGCAATGAGCTAGAGAGAACATACTCTGAGGTCACCCCGCTTGCTCAGCATTGCTCTTTGATAGCTCTGTCAAGCACTTAACAAACCAGCACTAATTAATCCAGCTTCCTCTGAGCGAGCCTGGGTAGCCCTGAGGGGCTGAGCGATTTATCCGAGACCTATGCATGGCACAGTGGGGAATGGTACAAATCTCACTGATCTCAGAGCTCTCTGCCAGCCTACCTAGTGCTCAGGGAAGGTCCTTTCTTGTTGCTGCACAATATCAGACCCAGTTACACCCAAAGGTGTCAGCCTTGCAGCCACCAGCTCTCTAAAGAGCCTCATGACAGATATCCCTTTTTGAGCCACACAACCAAGTCATGCTGGACCCAGAAAACCACCCCAGTTTTCCCCTGTTCTGAATTCCATGCACCCCTTCCTCCAGAGCTAAGGCCTACGAAACAGCCTCCTTAGACAAGCTTGCTTGCTTGCTTCTGGGCTCTCCAAAATGGAGTTCAAAGTCTCTCGCGACTCTGAGCTGGCCTGCGGAGCGTTTCCTTTTCTTAGACCTGAGTTGTCATTAAGTAAAAGGCTGACCCGAGTTAGCCCTTCCTGGTTGAGGTAGAAGATATGAAAACCTGGCTTGAGAGTGGACCAGGAGACAACCAAGGGCTCCATCCTCTCTGCAGAGGACTGGAGAGAGATCAGCAAACCCAACTGCTCTCCCTCCAGGGAGCTGCTTCATCGTGACCCCCAAGAGTGGCAGTGCTGGGAAGAATAGTAGCATCTGTGCTGCACTGGATAATGGAAGCTCCAAAGATATCCTTGGGAACTGTTGACTAGCCCCTTTTGGCAAAAAAAAAAAAAAAAAAAAATAGATGTGATTAAGTTAGGGATGCTGAGATAAGAAGCTGATCTTGAATTATCTGGACAGACCCTAAATGTAATAACAAGTATCCTTATAAGAATGAGACAGAGAGAGAATGGACACAGACAGAAGAGATAACAATGCAACTTCAGAGGTAGAGACTAATGTGACCGGGCCCTGCCTTGAAATGCTAGCAGCAGAGAGAAGCTGGACAAGGCAAGAAACAGGCACTCCCCTGGAGCCTCCCGAGGGAGCTCAGCCCTGCTCACAGTTTGATTCCATCCCAGAGACACTGATCTAGAAGTCTGACGTCCAAAACTGCTAGAGGACCCATGTCTGATGTTTTAAGCCATGCAGTTTGTGGACATTATTAGCACATCCACACAGAGGAAGAGAGTAGTGAACCCTCAAGGATCGCTCATGATGTTCTGGGCATTGCACAAGCATTTTACCTGCTGAATTCAGGACATCTGAGCTGTGGGTGTGAGGCTGGGTTTAGGAAATCACACTCCCTGGGTTTGAAATCCAGATTCATAGTTCAATGTTTTGAGACTTAGCAAATTATATCACTTCTCTAGTCTGATTCACAAATGGGCGTATCGTTATCTTTTCTGACTGGGTTGCCAGGAGGATCAAATGGATAATAAAGGCAAAGTGCTTAAAACAAGGTACAGTGACTACTGGAGAAGTGTTGGCTATTATGACATCTCAGGGGATGCACAAACTGAAATAAGACCATTCTAATCTGTCGGGACAAGGCCTCCTGCACTTAGAACAAGAGAGAAAAGATGGCCCTTTAATGATGGTTGAAGAGCTAACACAGCAGTCTGCAGACTTATGTATTTCTTCTTTGAATTGAGCAATGTAGGTCCTAAGGCTGGCCCATTTCAGAACAGACAGATGCCAGGAGCTGTGCTAACACGGCTCAGCAGACTTCCAGACCCCTGCCCACTTCTTATGGAGAAGGTGCGCACAGGTCATCCCGTCAGCGGCCACTGGCACAGCCAGCACCACCCACCACCTCCTCTCTCTATGGCTGTGGTATAAGGAAGGGCATACCAGCAGAGGGCAGAAACTCAGTTCATTTCTGGCCTTCCAAGGCCACTCTAACCAGTCCCAGCAGGCTGGGTAGAATGTTAAAACAGGGGGGTCTGTTTGACAATGAGGTTACAATCAAGTTAGCAAAGAGTGGAACAAGGTTTGCCCAGAGCTGGTGGAAGAGAACCTAGACTCACACGTGAAAAGAGAGGGAGAAAACTTTCATTAACTCGGTCCTTCCTGATAAAGTTTGACCAAACTTCAAAGCAGTGCGGTCGCATAGACTCCCGGGCCTTGCAACCCCACAAAGCCCCGCGGCAATTAACTACGGGAGAAGGGCCTGGCCTTGGCAGTAGCCTCCTTCTAGCCATGGTCTGGGTTGTCCAGCTCCTGCTGCTGCCGCCGCCTAGACTGACGACCAGGCCTCTTCCTGGCAGCCACCTGCGCTCTTGCTCCCTTCCCAACCCCACCCTCCAAGGGGAAGATGGATGAGGGAGGACAGCTCCCCCTCCTTACTCTCAGGCACCCACAGATTTCTGAGCTGCCGTCACCACTGACGAGAACCCACATTCTCTGGAGGAATCGCTCCTTTTTCTTATTCCATCCTTCCTATCAATGAACACGCAGCAACACCCCCGCTCCCGCTCCTCCTACTCCGGAGGGACACCGAACCAGAGAGCGACATCCGGAGCTGGGAGCCGATGCAGTGGGAGCGTTGGCCTCCCCGCGCCGCTGTCCCTTGCCCCTTTCCCAGCCAAGCGAGGATCCCAAGCCAGCCCAGCGATCCGGACCAGAGGGTGCCTGAATCCTTCGTGGAGCCCCGCCTCCCCAGGGGCTCGGCTCCCGAGACCTCCAGGAGCCAGCAGGAGAGCAGCTTAGCCCCACCCACGGAGGCCGGACGCAGGGTACCGTGCCTGGGACGCGAACCCATGCCCCAGATCTTAGGCAGTCCCCGCCCACAGGTATGCCTCACCTTAGGCATCCCAAGGCGGCCCCCAGCCCTGCGCTCCCGCGCGGTGTCTTCCCCTGCACCCTCGCCTGCAGGAGACGAGTCCGGGGCAGCGGGTGCGCCCATCCTGCCCCAACAGGTCGCGGGCAGCGGGGAGCGCGCCGCCCGCCGGGGCAGGCGCAGGGAGGCGAGCCGGAGCGAAGCCGAGGGCCGGCCGCGAGGGGCGGGAAGGGGGGCGAGGGCTGCGAGCCCGGGGACTTACGCGCGGGCTCTGGGGAACCCCATGGAGAGGAGCACGTCCAGCGCCGAGCCATGCTTGATGGTGCCGGGGCGCTGCTGGCGGTTCCTCCGCGGGGTGACTTTGCTGTACAGCTCCTCTCTCGCAGCCATGCCGAGCGGGCTGGGGTGGCCGTACTGAGCCATGCCTCAGCGGCCAGCCATCGCCGGGAAAGGCGCCCGAGCAGGATCGTCCAGGAGGGAGGAGAGAGCCGGGCTGGGAGGGGAGGGGGCTAGGGGACCCGGAGCCGGGCGGGAGGCGGCGGCGGCGGCAGCGGAGGCGGCGCTCCGAGCTTCCCCAGTGTCGAGATTCTGACGCTTCCTGGTGAGGCCACCCGAGCCAGAACGGCCCGCGAGCTGCTCCAGCCGGACCCGGCGTCAGAGACTGGAGCCCCCGGCGCCCCCTGCACGGCGCCTGCAGCAGCCCTTTCTCCTCCGCCCCCTTCCTTCTCCCTAGCAGTCCGGGAATTTGCAATGAGTAATTTTTGAATGGATCAAAAAAGAAAAAGGAGCCTTGTGGGCTGGCCCTGCCTTGCAAGTACGCGGGCCCCGCCCCTCCCTTAAAGCGGCAGCGCTGTCGGAGCCCGCGGCAGTCTGGGCACAGACTCTAGGGTCCGATCGCTGGTAGGCAGAGGACCAGAAGCCTCAGGGCTGCCACAGTGCAATGGCTCCGGGAGTTCCCTCACGCACCCCTCAACCCCAGCCCTCACGTGCCAATCAACTCCTTGGCATGCATATAGGGTCGGCTGGGCCTCAAGACATCGGCAACCCATTTCAAGTTTTGTGTCGCTCTAGATTTGGTTAATAATGGAAATAGGGCAAACTGGATGGCATGAATCAGAAAGGTCAGCTATAAGACTTCCCTAACGACCCTGCCCAACCCAGAGGAGCCAACCAAGCAGTGGCGTGTAAAATGAAGCCCTGCTGTGACTGAGCAGTCCCGGGCTGATAGTGACTGGAAGGCAAAGGGTGGCATTGCTAGTTTCAGGCCTGGGAGAGAAAGGAAAGGAGGAAGGGGGGCAGGTGGAAAGAAGAGGGAGGGGAAGACAGAAAGGAGGAAGAAGAAGAGAGAGGAAGTGGGAAGTGGTAGGAGGCTGAGGGAGAAGGAACAGAGAAAGAACACTTTCTAATTTTAAGAGGCATTCAAAATGGAATGGGTTGTTTCTTAGTAATGAATGAGCATCCTGTAATAAAAGTATTCAAAGAAATACTGGATGATCATTGTTCAGCGGTGAGCAAGTGGATTGTATCATAGGTCAGACAATGTAGATGGAAGACCTAACCACAGCCACACCCCCCACACCATGAGCTTGACCTGGGAGGTTCAAGCTCTTTCCTTCCAAGCCAAACTTAACTGCCTGCTGCTCCTTTTTCAGGTAATGCAACCACTGATATATCTAACAGTCATTGTGCTCTGGCATGTGTCTGTCGTTATGCTTAACATAGTAAATGAATGAACTCACTGATTTTTTACAATGACATAAGAGTGTATATGATATTTATACCAGTTTTACAGATGAGGAAATTCACAGAGAGGTTGAGGAAGACCATAAAGCAGGAAAGTATAGCCAGAATGTTGTGCCTTGTGATGCCTCAGGCAAGTTCCTCCAGAGTGCTTGTCCGAATCTGTGTGCTTCATAGTAACCTAGCCTTGTGCACACACTGGGTTCTTCAAGTATGTCAGCTCCTCTCCTAGCCTGTACTGTGGGGGACAGATGGTGACCACCACACATGGAGTGACTTCTTGATATTGCTTAATAAGGCAGCTGAAGCTTTCACCAAGGGAAGTGACACAGCTGGAGTCCCTTAGCCCAAAATTGGTTTTCTGAGGAATGTCCATCTAACGCTGTGTGATAAGGCTTGGGAAGCATAAGCAACAATGTGCATAATTCTGCCTCTTGCTGTGTAAGGGATAAGGGCAAGTTCACACTTCCTGGGTGGGAGCCTCTGGCAAAGCAGAGGAAGTGTTCCCGAGTCTGAGTGGTGGTAGAGTGCTTTTCCAGGGCAAGGAGCAGAGACAGCACTCAGCTGGCAAAACCATACCTAGTAGACCAGGCTCCTTGGAATGTGTTCAGTTAAGGATGCTGGACCTCACCCAATATTCTGAATTTCTTCCAAAGGCTTGGGTGGAGTGTCAAATGAGCCTAGCCAAGAGATAATATCTGTGGAAGCACGTTGTAAATCATAAAGACTACGTGAATAGTAATTCAAATTTACTGAGAACTTACTATATTGTTCTCAGTGTCTCACATATATAGCTGGTTTAATCCCTAGTCAATTAGATGAAGGAGGTAGTGTGATATTACCATTAGTCACTTAACAAATGAAGATGTTGAAGTTAAGTCTGTTGTCCAAGGTCATGTCCCAAGATCATGGCTAATAAGTGGTAGAACCAGGATTTGAACTCTTCAGCTTTGGCCAACTGTTATTGCCAGTGTTAGGATGATAAAGAGATGCCAGCCATTAAAAAATCATGGTGATCTTTTGGACTCCTGTACACCTTGATAGAGAATTGCTAAATATCTGTTTTATTGGAAAAATTGGATTAGCTTTTCCCTTGCTTCGAGACAAACTATGAGAGGAAATAACCGCTACAAAAATAGTTTGAAGTAGCCTGGAAAAAGCACTATGGAAAAACCCAACACCTGAGATGTGGACTGTTCTGTCTGGGGCACTTTGACAGAAACCCCAGCCTGGCACCCTAGCCCTGCTTCAGCTGGGTGCCAGCACTTGTTTTAGCTAGGAAGGCTGCCATTTGCTCTGCCCCGGGGAAGGTCTTGGCAATTAAGATGCATTGTGCTTTAATTGTATTGACTTTGAAAAGCTAAGGAGGCTTTATAAATGTCCATACTGTTATATTACAAAGAGAAGAGGGATGACTATTCATCAGATCTGGCAGTGGTGGGGAGGAGTGAGGCGGGAGCATAGTCTTGCCTGGAGAGGGAACTGACACTTAGCATTCAATTTCACCCTCATAGAGAAAGCAAGTTGTCCTGTCCCCTGCACCAGTGGGTCATGTCAGGAGTCAGCCTGGAGCACAAATCCTTTTGTTCACATGAGCAGTGGCGAAACACCACCCCTGCTGACGTCAGCCACTTTCTTGGTGAGGAATGCCAAGGATGGGGCAGGTGACAGCACTTGTAATGACCGGAGCATGTCCTATTGTCTCTCTTTTTCCTCTCTGTCCTTGAGGAAAGGTCAAGTGCCTATATTGAGAACAGCTGCAAGGTATGAGAATACTTTCAGTGCTGAGGGCTAGGATGTTACCCTAGCAAACGAAGGCAGTTTTTGAACCAGTGGGAATGAATTTAGCCCTAGATTTCAGGGGGATTCCCATGACCAGAAGTTTTTGAAACTATGTGGTAAAGACAGTAAGGAGAGAGAGCATGAGAAGGTTCTAGAACTAGGACATAGGGTGCTGCCTATAACCTAGATAGGACCTCTATAGGACTTAGCTTCCTTATCTGTCAAATAGCTTAGACTGGGGATTTCTAGGCTTTGCCAAGGGACCCTCGGGGACTCTTTGCGGGCAATGGGTTGGGGTTGTGGTTTCTCCACTGAAGGTTGAGTGTGGGGGAAGCATCGCATCCTGTCTTCAGAATATTGCAGAACGTGGGCCTGCTAACACAGAAGCCAAACTCCATGCCACCAGCTTTTGAGAAAAGAACCAGTTTAATGCAAGGTCACCAGGCAGGAGACTGGAGGCCAGGCCTTCAAATCAGTCCCCCAAAGGATGCGGCTTTGGGCAATGTCTATGGGAATGAAGAGCAAATATAGAAAATTCTCTTAGTAGAGTATGATTGGTTGCTTTCTGTTAAATCATGGTGTCACTCAAATTCGGATTCAGAACTACTGAAGACTGAGCACCCCTTACTTCTGAACGTGGTCCATCTTAGTTCTATCTCCCACGGCTATTTTCTGTTCAGACAATGAACTATCATCTCAAGGACATGGGCGATTTTCTGTGCCTGCATTCTGAAACACAACTTGTCAACTTAAGAAATATTGAGTGTTTTCAAGTGATGAGGGATATTTGTGTGCTACTGTTGCTAGCCTGCCCTCCTCCTACTATCGAGGGATAAACAGAAGCAATAAAAGATGGGCGGGACCATCACCATTTCAAGAATGAGTACACACACACACACACACACACACACACCCATCAGTTCTATGTCTTGGGCCTTTTATGTAAGGTTTTCTGTGGAAAGATGGTTTAGAGGTTCAAAACACACTTAGAAAAACACTAAACCAGATGATTCTTTAGCAGCCATCTTAGTCCGAGGAGATGGTAATTTAATAAAAAGGAGAGTGAAGGGGAGTGCAGTAGGACTGGCAAGAGAGGGACAAGGTTGCTGGGAAGGAAGGAAGAAGTGATGGGTGGAGTAGGGAAAGGGCGGGGTCCATATGGGTAGACACACTATAGAGTAAACTAGACTTTAGACGGTCATGTCAGCTCTCACCTGTCTCAAGGCACAATTATAACAGATCTGATGACCTTGAATTGAGTAACTGAAGTATCACAGTATTCAATTTGCCCCTACAATGGAGCATACACACAGACCATGTGCAGTAGCATTTTCCATGATAGTCGGTGGGTTGTTTTAGCATTTTCCATGATGGTCGGTGTGATGTTGTGTCATACGGTAGGAAAAGCGAAGGCTGAGAAAAAGTTTGGCATATCACTTCAGACCAATCAAAAGTTTATATTTTTCTCACATATTGAAAAATTAAAATCTGTCCCATAGTGATAAAAAAAAAGGGGGGGAGGGAGTCTATTTTTATTTCTTCTTTGCTTATCTCTGAATAAAACCCCAGACTGTCTGTTCTGGAACCCTCACAGTAGACGCGCCATTGTCCACATTTCCTTCTCGGAGATGCCTGGGCCCAAATATCATTGCTTCAGGGTGTGTGTCCTTGAGTTGCCACAGAACAATGGGAGTGTTGTGAAATAAACTGCATCAGCTTTAAAAAAAAGGCCCCCCCCCACTCTCCTCACACAGCTTCCTCTTTGTATACTAACGGAACTATGCAGGCAGCCAAAGGAGAAATTTGACTTCTAAGAAATAAATTACTATAAAAACCTAGGTGTGAAGCAAAGATTTAAAAGAATGGATGTCGTCATAAATCAAGGTATACAGAAAAATAACTATCACCATTTAACAGTTGAGAGTGTTCACAGGGTTGGCAAGATGTCATTTATGAATATTTCTTTTTAAATATGTAAGTTTACTTTAAAATTCTATAAAGTGCATATTAGTGAAGCATTGTGGGCCTGTGGATATCCCTGTAGGTACACATTTCAGATGCATGCATACTATATAAGGTGAACAGGAATAGCACAGAAGGAAAAATTGTTGGGCCAAATCATGAGGAGACTAACACTCTGGTTAGTGATATTTCTTTCATCTTCATTCTGAAAATTAAAATATTAGAATTACCAATTGCTGTTGCCCCTACCTAGGGCCTGCTCCAGCCT